CGATTGATTCTGATCCAGAAACCACGTGGATAATCTCTCTGTCCAGTGCAGTAAAGAAACCATTCACGCTTTTTGCCCACTCAATGACCTCAAGGCATATTCAATACACCCCCAAGGTTCATCAGTGTGCAAGCTGCTTCAGATACCATGGTAGAAATTACCGATGCAAAAAGCAAGTATGTGCACACTGCGCCAACACAGTACACCAGGGAGAGTGCGAAAAACCAATCCCAAAGTGTATCAATTACAAAGGACCTCATGCTGCCAACTTCGATAAATGCCCTGCACGCCCCAAGGTTGTAAAAGGCATCATCCACAAGCACACATGGGAGCAAATCCAGGAAATAAGGCTGGCTGGAGAAAGAGCCAGATCCAAGGCCTTTAATGAAGCAGGCAGAAACCAAGCTGGGTCAACACCCAGCAACAATAACGAAGACATCACAATGCAAATCGACACAACAGATACAACTCATCCCAGAGATGCCGATACCATTATTGTCAGTCAATGTTAGGTACACCAAACGAAACACATCGACATGGGCATCTAGTCATCCATTCTGTGAACACAGCAGGAGGACAAAAGAGTGCAGGCCCTACAGAGTTAGCCATCAACCTGGCTGACTACAAAGGAGAACAAGCAGACATCATCCTGATGCAAGAGCCCTGGGTTGGCATACCACCAGGCAGGAGAATAGGAGTAAAGACACATCCCAATTATAATATATACTCCCCAGTGGATTCCTGGGACAGCGACAGTACACGGCCCAGATCTCTCATCTATGTGAGAAAACACCTTTAAGTGGATCAACTTCGGCCCTATACTACACGAGACATCACCTGGGTCAAGGTACAAGGCATTATATTTGCCAGTGTCTACCGGCCTTGTGACAACCCACAAGAAGTGGATGATATTCTGGAAGTATGGACTCCACCTTTTGGCTGCGTTATAGCTGGAGATTTCAATACTGGCGACATATCCTGGGACTCAAGCAATCCAGGATATCATGGTGGTGTCATACTTGCACAGACTATGGCAGATCATGGACTGGATCTGATTTCTGAACCAGATATTCCAACACATGATGACAGAAATGTACTAGATCTGGTGTTCTCAGATGTCCCCATGGCTGAAGCCTCAGTCAATGATGCACTTCAGTGCACCTCAGATCATAAGACATTACGAATAATCATTCCAATTCAGGGAGATCTGGACCAAGTCTCTAAGGCCAATTACTGGATAGTACCAGATGACAAACTACAAGAGCTGGCAAATAATGTCCAAACCAGGATCCATGAACTCCCCCGGCTGGGTGTATCCCCTGGCCAGGTGGATGCATTTACACAGAGCTTGATCAATATGATCCAAGGCTGTATCAGGACAGTGGGCAAGAAGCCCCGACAATCTAGGCCCACTGCTTGGTGGAATGATGACTACAAATCAGCTGTTCAGACATACAGAGTCCTTTCTAAACAGACTACAAGCCAAGAAAGGCGGAATTCAGCCCGACAGGAATTTCGCCGCGTGGTTCGGAAAGCTAGGAGAGAGTACTGGCAGACTTTAATTGATTTAGTAACTGAGCCAAAGGACTTATACAGAATCGTCTCTTGGCACAAGTTATCAGCAGGATTGCGTTCCCCTCCCATCATCATAGGAGACCAAATATTCGAGTCACAAGAGAGCAAGGCAAATGCATTACGCTCAGCCACGCTTGAACAAAGTACCTCAGACAACGATATCATCGACCCCTGGTCCGCTCAGATCATACAACCCAAGCCATACATCCCCCTTGAATACCACGTCGGACTGGAAGAGGCTGAAGGGTACACTTTAGGAACCAAGAGCAACTCCCCGGGAGTAGATACCCTCACAGTACGGATTCTGAAAGCTTGCTGGCCAGTCATTGGTGAACATATCAGAGCCCTTTTCCAGACCTGTCTACTGATTGGACACCACCCTAAACCATTCAAAGTAGCTGAGGTGGTGATGATCCCAAAACCAGGAAAGAAAGACTACTCCAATCCCAGGGCCTACAGACCAATATCGCTACTGTCATGTCTTGGCAAGGGCCTAGAACGACTCATTGCGAAAAGAATTACCTGGTTTGTTGTCAAACTTGGAATTCTAGCCCCACAACATTTTGGAGCTCTACCAAAGCGCTCTGCCACTGACCTGGTAGCTGCACTCATACACGATATTGAGCAGGCCCTTGACCAAGGCCTCGTTGCAACGGTAGTCACATCAGATGTGAAAGGGGCCTTTGATGCTGCCCTAATGGGACGGCTGGTGGTTCGCATGAGAGAACAGGGCTGGCCAGGCTTTCTCATAAGATGGGTCCAGTCGTTCATGTCCGAGCGGTCCGCAAGAGTTCGGTTTGAAGGTACTGTGACCGATATAAAAGCTCTCACTTGTGGGCTCCCACAAGGCTCACCAGTCTCTCCAATCCTCTACATGCTGTATACAGAGCCAATCTGTGCCCGACTTGGCATGAAAAGAAGACGCTTTGGATATGCAGATGACCTAGCAACACTCTGTATTGGAAAGAACCTTAAAGAAACAGCTACAGAGGCTTCTGAAAACCTTCATTTATTCAATCAATAGGGACATAACAATGCTATTGAATTTGATCCCGACAAAACCGAGATCATGCACTTCTCACGGAAAAAGAACTCAGACAATCCCCCAGTTTGCCACGGAACAATAAACAAAACAGCTAAGTATTCCATGCGATGGCTAGGTGTCCTTCTGGATAGGAAACTAAACTTCAAAGACCATGTTTCTCACTGGGCCAAGAAAGCTAGTAGGGTAGCAAATCACCTTCGAGGACTATACAACACAGTCAAAGGACTTCTAGTAAAATTAACCAAGAGGGCTGTGAAAGCTTGTGTTATTCCTATTCTCACACATGGCCTGGAGGCCTGGTACCCAGGAATCGAGAAAGCTGGGAGCTTAGGTGAGACATCAGCATGTCGCATTAAGGGGCTTCTTGGAACAATAGATGCCGTACTATGAACGGCGGTCAGGGCTATCTTGCCAGTCTGGAAAACACACCCTGGACATATCTTATACTTTGAATCGCAGATTCCCCCAGCAGGAGTTCTTGCAGAGTTAATAAGACGACGTCACGGCCTCCGACTAGGACGAATAGATCAGAGACACCCTCTGGTTGGCAGGCTCCAAATACAAGCTCGCAAGGATCCAACAAGGCTACAAAGGAGCTTTCAGCTAGTCCCTGACTTCCAGAGACCAATACTTACCAGGCCATCATGGAAAAAGCGCCCAATCCGCAAAGACAAAGACAAAGAAATAGAGCTCTTCAAGCAATGGTTACAAGAGAGAAACATGAACACTGACCTTGTCATCTACTCAGATGGATCACAGTTGGATGACCAAGGCACAATCCGCACTAGATGGGGTTATACCATCAGGAAAGGCGGCACTACACAAGAAATATACCGGGGAAGGGGCAGACTTCTACAAGCAGAAGTAATAGATGCTGAAGTCCATGGTGCTCTCCAAGGTCTTGCAGCAGCCAGGGCAATTGGACACGGAAAACAGCTATATGTCTGCCTGGACAACACGTCAGTGGTAAATGGGCTCAATGGGACTCCACCCGAGACATCACAAAACATTTTTCTACGATTTCAAGAACTTGCCACAGCACACACTCCTGGAGTGACCGTCAAATGGATTCCTGGACACAGAGATATTGATGGCAACGAAGCTGCCGACACACTAGCAAAAGAGGGTGCCATGCTAGAAACAGACACAACAAATCTTCCTATAATCTCTTGGGTCAAGAGAGATTTTAAAAGAAAGGGCAAGAAAGAGTTCAATTAATGATAAAAAGACCGATCAGAACCTAAATATCAAGAAGTATACTCACATACAATAACTGAAAAAGACCTTATATCTTTAAAAGGAGTACTTTACACAGACTTCTAGCGGCCAGATCTGGACATAGCGACTTTGCCAGATATTATGAACGCTTTGGGCATACAGACTCGAATTTGTTTGTTTGTTTGTTTGTTTGTATTTAACGTGGGGGGTAGCTCCTCAGTAGTGCAAACCACGCCTCCCAGAGCCATTGCATCGCAAGGTTGTAGAGGTGTCAAATTAGATACATTCAGATCCGCGCACGAGCCTATCCTCGCTGTAGCGGTACCAATCTGGAGTGTTCAGATAGTTTTAGTCAATACCCAAGCACGATTCCGTCAGAAAAAACCTCCTATCTAATGACAAAGCGACCCAGTGAACCTCAGTTCTCTGGTGTACATATCGTTCCAGTAGCCGTTCGATATATGTCGCATTGGTGGGTGGAATAGGTGTTTGTTATCTGCTGGCGAGGGAAACCACAAGGGGGAAAACCTCGCAGGAGTGGGTATTGTGGAGACAAGCTGCTTGGCTATCGGGCTCTGCGATAAAATGGGGCCTCTCCACTGTCGTGTGCTGGTTATCGACTCGCACAAGCCGGGTCAGAAAGGGGGCCATAGCAGGATTCGAACCCACTTGTTCTCGTCGCCCACCGCACAAACGAGAACACAACCAGGCGCATTTGACCATTGCGCCATACGGCCCATACAGACTCGAATGATCACTGCAGCTGTGGTGAGAAGAAAACACCATAACACATTTTTTTTTGGAAGAGACTGGGGAAAAACCGGCTGCTATTTAGGTACTCGCCTAGGACAGCTTGTTTATAATACTTAGGAGAGAGGAGCACATAATGGGCAAAATTCGTAGAGAAGAGCAAGTTCTTTTCAATAATCCGCCCCCGATAGATAGCTTTTCTTGAAGGACCAGATGGATGACCCCAAGGTCATACCGCCGCAACAACGGGGATGGGCCCGTGAGCGGGACTGACTGTACTTATTATCTTGAGACCTCCACAACCCTGCGATACAGAGGCTCTGGGAGGCGTGGTTTGCACTACTGAGGAGCTACCCCCCACGTTAAATACAAAACAAACAAACAAACAAACAAACAAACAAACAAACAAAACTTAGCCGTATCCTTGACCAAACCCGTTGCCGTATCCGGGGGTGCTCGTGGTGCTTCCTGGCCAGTCATCCGCATTACCTTTCCAACCGATAGCCCTGATTCGAAGGTCCGACGCATGGCCCTGCCTGAAGGGGTTGGTCTTGTTGCCGCTTCCCTGTAAATTCCTGCCAGGCGGCGCTGACCCAGGTCTGCCCATATTGAGCCCGTTGTTTCTCGCGGGAGTTACCGATTGCAGAAGTTGAGGAGCCTCAGGGCAGTCTCGCTTCATGTGTCCCTCTCCTCCACAGTACAGGCACAGACCTTTCTCGATCCGCTTCTGCCTCTCTGTGGTTGACAGGCGTCGCAGCCTGATAGAATCGAGGTCCATCGGGTCACCTGCCGCTGGCGCCGGGGCTTGTGCCCGCGGTGGATGCTGAGGGGTCTGGTTGTTCCTGTTGTTGGACTTGTTGTTGTTCTTATTGTTGTTGCTATTGCTGGACGGGTTGTTCGAGAAGGGGTTCTTATTGCCTGTATGGTGCGCGTAGTTGACGATGTTTTTGGTCAGTGATCGGTAGCAGTCTACCCATCCGCCGAAGTCTTCGTTCTGAGGCTTGGGTAACACGCTGATTACTGCTGACTGTGGCTCGTTGTTCACCTTCTTCTTCAGCTTCTCGACCTTCGCCTTGTCGTCCAGCCCCAGGTCACCGGCGAGGGCCAGGAACTCAGAAAGGAAGAGGTTGAACGGGGTGTTCTTCTGCTTCAAGTCATCCATCTCCCTGCTGGCGTCACCCGACCTGTTGTGCGAATCGTATGATCGCTCCAGCCAATCGAAGAAGGTGTCTGCATCCTGCCACTCCCATATTGCTGGATTGGTCAGGGTGGCTGTAGATCCTCGCCAAGTATCCATCAATAGTCACCCTCGCGGTGCCGTCCAGGCGAGAGACTGCGTACAAGATCTTGTTGTATTCGGTACTGTACTTCCTCTTCTCAACGTTGATCTTCATGCGCGCGCTGCTCAACCAAGCCCTGAACTGGCGATGGCGCTTCTTGTCGTCCTTCTCTTCTCTATCAAATAACGCCGGGTCAGACACCAGGGACGAGGATTCCTTGTATGGATTGTTGCTCATGCCCTGGATACCCTGGTTGAAGGCCTGGGTGAGGGTACCAATGTTCTGCTCGAAGGCTTCGATACGTCCCTGAACAGAGTTCAGCTGGTTTCGCAGCACCTGCAACTCGCCGGTGCCCGTCGTGATGGTCTGCTGGAGCTGGGCTATCTTGGCCTCCTGAAGACTCAGAGTCTCTTCTAGTGCGTTGAAGATCACCAATGCCTGGGTATTGGCCGCCATGTTGTTGCCAGATTCGTTGAAGAGGGCATTGTGGAAGGGGCGAAAGTTACTGTCACAGTTCCGGTCCACGCAGGACTGGAGCACCGTTAGCCAATTCCCACCAAGAAGCTCCTTGATGCTGAGTTCGTCGTCCGAAGACTGTCCGAAGTTGCCATTGGTAATAGCTATGATTAAAGAATAGAAATAAAAAGCAGGGTAAGGGTCAGGGTCAGGGTCAGGGTCAGGGTCAGGGTCAGGGTTAGTTGCTCAGAGTGTGTGTTGCTGATCTCGGGGTCCGGGTCGTGAGGAGAAAGTTGCTCAATATGTACGTCTCGTGTTTCTGGCCGTCCTGTCAACATTGGGCCCATCGTCGCCACCACCGCCATCACGGCGCGTCTCAGGTTCGCCATAGATTCTGGGTTCATTCCTTGTTTTTTCTGTGGTCCAAGAAGTCTAAGAGGTCTGAGAGCCTGGTGGTGAGGCAGTGATCGACTTGTGAACAAAGGACTGAACCAGGGCTCGCTTGGCAACGACCCTTCCTACGAGAAGATTCAGGGGACGGGAGGCTGAAGTGGCGGTCTGAAAGCTGAAGCTGAGGTCCGAGAGCGACGTGATATCTGATATATCGACTGAAGCTAAAAACACGAGGGTCTGAGAGCGAGAGGTGTGCTGTGATAACTGATATCGTGACTGAAGCAGTGGTCTTGAGGTTGATATTTGTTGAAGGCAGAACAAACTGTCACAAGGCCGAATCATGGGTGGGGGGGGGGGGGGGGGGGGTAAATGGTATGTTGTTCTGCAGAGAGGAGCAATACTAGTCAGGGGTAGAGGCCATGTATATGTACATGAAGGTTCTTTGTTCTCCAGGATGGTTCCTGACACTGACAGCCTCGTCCGCCTTGTCCATCAGCCTGCTACCTGCAACATGCAGCCCGCGGCACCATGTCCAGCGTCGACCAGCAGGCCAATGCCGCAGCCGCTGCACCTACCCGCACACGAAGCACGAGAAGCACGAGGCGCAACCAGCCAGAAGCAGAACCTCTGGTAGAGGATACTTGCTTTCGTGACATGGTGGTCATTACCGTTTCCTTTACTTCCAGTCTTATCACTCACCTTGCCTGCTACGGTAGCTTCTTGTCACGGGGCATATTTAAAGCTTGGACGAAGATGGCTATCAAATACCGTCTTGATCTTGTTGATGTTGGGTCTCCGAATGATGAATGATGATAGTGTCGAGCAAGGGAGACAAACAGCTCTGACGATAAGGGGCACAGTGCAGGATTCGCTTGCTGCACGAAGCGACTCCACAACACCATGTCCATTGCCCTCAAGACTCAAGAGATACTTGCTTTGCTTTCGGCTACAGAGGTAGCTATCGCCTCCGACTTCCGCTACTGGCCAGCCCCCGTTGAAGTGGAAGATACGGTTGGCGGCAACTCACAGCGCATTCGAAAGGATGGGATCGCCGAGCAATAATAGCAGCAACAGCAGCAACAGCTGGACGCACTCCGACCCGGGTTCGGGCTCGGGCTCGGGCTCGGGCGTTTCTGTATAATGTTTCGCTTGCGATCTGGATTTCAAGAGCGACACTAAGGCTGAGGCAGCAGACGCTCCGTCGCCACGGGTAAAGCTAACCTCGTCGGGAGACTGGCCACGAGAAGCAGAAGCGCTATACAAGCCTCTGCAGGACTGGCAAACCCGGGTCCTCGAGTTGCAGCATGGCCTTGCTGGAGACGAGCTCGCCGCAAACCTGCATGTTGTAGATCTTCTACATGACCCCGGAGTCATCATCCATGGCACAGACCACTGGCTATCCTACGTCGCTCTCTCTTACTGCTGGGGCAGCTCGGCGATACACGACCAAGCCCGTCGACTTATTTGGCCACGTATGGCTGGATGCAGGGTGGCCTAAGTATGGGACTGAGTATCGAGACCACCACCGCCGTCTGCAGCCGAAACCTGGCGTGCTGCAAGTTCAAGGCCTCGCATTCGGGACGGCAGCTTCCGTCGATCAGAGCCGCTTGCTAGAGCATTGGTATTTTCCTGGGTATACTCGTTCGGAATACGCCCTGGAAGAGCAGCAGATGGCGAGGGTTGTCCATACGCCGTGTCATCATCCCGGATAACGAGAAGACCTCTGGAAGACCGAGACCGAGCCAGAGGCTGAGACCGAGACTGGTAGCGATGACGATAGCGATAGCGATAACTTGCATAATCTCGTTCGAAGACCGAGGGAGTGGTTAGTACCCAAGTCCGCCAGACCAGACGACGCAGTCATCGTGCCCATAGCCGGGTCGCTGCCTCTGATCGTCCGTAAAACTCCCTCTCCCTTAAACACAAGTTGGGCGTACATAGGGCTCGCTCTGCCCGCTTCTGTTTTGGCCCAGAAACAGAAGGGTTTCCAGAGCAATTCCGTCAGGGAGAAAGACGCAGAACTTGCTACTATCTACCCTGCGAAGGAATTTGGTGACGTCGTGAAGGCCGCCCAGAAGCGTAACTTGCTCGAGAGCTTTGATCTAGAGTGAGTTCGAACCCTGAGCGGGTGGCCGAGTCACGCTATCGTTGAAGGTTAGGAAGCGGGGGATGTTCAAGGGTTGCAAAGGTTATAAAGCATTTTAAGTTAGTATATGTTGGTTATATTATGTTATAAAAAAATTATAAGTTGAAAAATATTAAAAGACTAATATAATCGTTGTTGTCATTGTATGATATATTTAATAAGGTTTATTTATAACTATATATAACATTTTAATATTTTAAGTTAATATTATATTAAAATGAATTTTTTTAAGAAATTTATAGCTTTTTAACTTGTAAATTATTACAATATTTTAATATAATAATAAGACAATTCATTTATACCGTTGTTCTTTTTTCAAGGTTATTATATTATATATTAAATAAAGAGGTATACATTAAAAGTTATGACATTTCGTGTCGTTTTATTGAATTTAAACTGTTATAAGAAGGACTAATATAACAATATTGTTGGGTCCATGCGATTCCACATTCGAACACTTCATACTGAACCCACATGTATGATTAGATAAGAGATTAAATACCAGATTGTGAGGTCACTTAGCCAGACCTGCGAGTGCAGCTAGACCTCTCAAACCAACCATCAGCAACATCATGACCTTGACCCAATACTCGAGTATTATGATTGATCGTTCAAGCCTGTTCCAAGAAATATAATAGTTATAATGTTTAGAAATGATTGTTTATTAAATAGTAGTTATATAAAGAATTCAACTTGAAAGCGAGTTATTAGCCGGGTTTACTTCGAGCTTTGATAATTACGTGCATTTATATTGATAAGCCGTTATAATTATAGAACTTAGTAATAAACTATAATAATATAATAATTTACGAACTAATAACAATTACGTGAATAATATTACAATATTAATATTATATTCTAAGATTATAAAATATATAAAGCTAATTATTTACGTTTTTAAATTAGCTTTATGTAACATTATTTCTTTCGGTTATTTAAACATGTTGGTTATGTTAATTTAATAAAGAATAAAAGTTAAGGTAAAGGTCAAACGTAATATATAATAGAATATTCAATTTTCAATTAATTAATTAAAATCTTTGGGTATAAAAAGGCAATGTATTTAGTTATTATAACTTAAGAGACCTTGAGGTTTTTTTTTGGAAAACTTAAGTTAATAAATATTGGGGCGTTATTTATACACTTTATTTTAGTCTTTAACGTGATAAAGCTTAGTAAAAAAATATTATATCATAGCTTCTTCTATAAGAGGTTTCATTATTCTAATTGAAAAAGTAAATCTCGTTGTGTATACCAGCTTATATATTTGAATATTTTATTTATAGTTCTAGGTTTTTATATATTAACGTCGCGCCGAGTTCTTATAGCCCTAATTTCATAACGGTACTTTATTTTTATTATAATTTAATATATAAAGTTTTACGACTTTATTAAGATTTTTGATACTCTACAATAACAAAAATAAAGTTTTAAGTTAGTCTTATTCCTTTTTACTTCCTTTCCTCTTAATCTAATATCTTAAACGCGTTAAGATATATAGTAATATATATTTAGCTATAGCGATATTAGCTTAAAGCTTAAATTGAAGTTGAGATTTAGATAATTAATTGAAAAATACCGCATTTTCAATTATTAGTACTCTGCTTATCATAAACATCTAAGCTAACAATAAATAAGCCTGCTATAAAAATTTGGAAAAAAGTTTCGTTTTTTTAAGAATTCAATTTATATAGTTACAAAAACTAAACCATACGGCTCAAATATTTAAACCCGATAACAATTAGGCTTATATTAACGTTATATTAATAACAATAACCAAATTCTGGAACAAGTCGAACGTCGGTATAACTCACGCGTTATAATAATATGTTTAAAGTAATTAAAACCTTTGTAAATCTTATTTTATATATTAGCTCTCCTTTTCTAATTTAATTTATTATTATTATTTTTTACTTACTCTACATCTTAAATCTTACTTGTATACAGAAATTGAAACGTATACTTTTATGATACTACGCATTGATATATAGATAAATAAACAATTATATAATATAACATTTGTCGTTGTTATGACTTAAATAACGCTACCTTTGTTGAAATTTAAATCCATTTCGTTACGTGCACCTTAATTTTCAAATTTTCCAAAATTAAATTAATATTAGCCTTGGTTACTTTTAAATACTTTTAAACATTTTCTTTCTAAGTTTTTTATTACTATTAGTTATTTTCGGTTTGGAGTTAAATCAGTAACTATTGAAACCCTTTTTTTTCTTTTGAAATAACTTTATTAATTTTACGAGCCTTAAAGATCTTTTTGTCTTTTTTTGCGCGCTTTACATATATTAGATTAAGTTCTTCATATTTATAAAAAAAGATTCTTCGTAATGTAATTCATTACTTACTTTACGTGGTTCTAAGCCTTTTTCATTCTTTTGATTTTTCTTGATAAATTAAGTTTTAAAAAATAAAGAATTTAAAGTTGAGGTTTTTTTTGGTCTTA